CAGGAATTTGCTCCAGGGCAGACGCTGACTTCAGTCTGCAACAACTCAGCTGTGCTCTACTTAAATTTCTCAACTTTATTTCTTCTAAGGTAGGACAGTTTGATTATTCTTCATGTGTCAAGGGTCTGCGAGGATTACAGCAGCTGCAAACATCCACCCCTGACGCCGTGTCGTGATGTGGCTGGTTAATTATTTCAGGGCACGATTCTCGACAGGTGTAAATCAGCCCAGTTTGGGTGACTTCAAATGCAATAGCTCGACTATGACCAGTAGAGATTTTAGTAAGTAAACAGTTAGGTACAGCACTGTTAATAACAGGATCTTTTAAAAACTACATGTATAAAAACTTTCAAACTTCAAGACACTCCGTAGGTGCTATTTAACCCTTCCAGCACAGCGATGCAATAGGCTTGAATGCCATTTCCAGGTACTACTTCAATATTGTTTAAAGATATGCTGCAGAAGAAAACCAAAACTCCAAACTTTTGAAGTTTTTTGTTTGCTTATTCCAGACTACACATCTTTATCTAGTAAATACACCACACAAACAAAACACATTTTGCTCCCTGTAAGAGAAGGGGAGTTTGTCTAATTCTGCATTTCAGTGATGGGCAACGGCCTTACGCACAGCCCTGCCATGGCATGACCACCACCAAAGCTGCTCAGCAAATTGGCAGGGGGATTTCTTGTATCTTCTACAAAATTCCCTGTGGACATCTCCGTTTCCAGCATATCCATTTCCCTTTCCCAGCACCAGAGCACAGCTAGGTAGGAGCGCCAGCCGCTTCTCCTCCCATAAAACAAAGCTTCTTGCTAATAAAACTTCTCCAGCAAGGACTGCTAAGCAATCCCAAGGAGAGCTGGCCTTCTTGGGCTTGAATTTATGGAAAGAGAAGCCACAATACCTCACAAAGAGCTTGAAACCTCAGGTAAATTCTAGCAGCTCATTCCCCTTTCTCCCAGAGCAGCGACGAGAGTGCAAGTGCTGCTGTAAGCAGAGCTGTCAGCCTGCCAGGACCCAAATGCATGATACAGAGTAAAAGCAAGGAACACACAAGAAATGAGAAAGCTATAAATATACTACTAATAATACCTACTTCTTAACTATTCAGAAAGTGTCAAGTACTCTGCCCTTTTCTTCTCAAAATTATGGACCGAGCTTTTAAGCGCCCAATACGTACGTATGTTCTCTCGTACACTGATGCATCAGAGGGCCGCTCTCCTCGTGCCCTCTTGTCTCCTGCAAAAGCACTAGCAGAGTACAGTTACGTGTTAGGTAACTCATTAATCAAGAACACAAAAAACGCAGCCTTGGGAGATAGGCAGATCTTTTATGTAACATATAGGACACCGGAAAAACGGTATCACATAAGCAAAATGACATTTGCTGTCCATAAACCACTTCTGAGTCTGAGGTTTTCAAATAACGCACCCGAGAGTAAACAACACAACGTGAAACCTGCTCTCAGAGCCAGAGCAACTCCTCACCTGCACTTAGTCAGAGAGCACAGACAGTAGATTTAAAAAAAGATTTCTTGATGTAATGCAGATGTCAAAATCCCAGATGCCTTCAAATGTTACTTAGTATTGCTTTTTTAGGGAAGTGATAGTTTACGTATCTTAATTGAGACTGAATAAGCTATCCATGCATTTGTACAAAATTTTGTATGTGCATTCATCTGGAACTAATTTTGATAAAAAGGCTAAATAAAATAGCAAGTGAAGGGGTTCTTATATCTTGTACAATATGTATACAACAGAAGACAACATGGATGCTGGCAAAAATCCATTAAGATAACAAATCAGCAGTTCCCAAGATGGAACATCCAACTTTAGAGATCTGTTAAAATACTCTTGCTGGTTAAAGACACTTGCAATCTGCTTCCATCTGCTTTTCATAAGTTTAGAACATGCTTCAGTAACTTAATTTTAGAAAAGGACAACAGATAAAAACGTAAACACTGGCAGCCCAAGGCCACGGGATGTCAAACACCACCAGTGACTGCGAAGAGTAAAAATGCTAATTTTAAAATTAATTTCACATCATTCTGTGACATGCTCTACTCATCTCTTTTGTTTTGTTGCCCCTTTAGAGAGAAAATATATATTGACGTATTGCAAAAACCACCAAGGACTTTTCTCCTCTAATACTATACTTACCCAGTCAAAATGTACCTTTAGTCTTCAGCCTTGGAATGCATTTAAGATAAACTACGTTTAAGGGGTAACAAATATATTTTCCAATAATTTCCTTTCCTCTCCAAACATCAAAGAAGCTTAAAATATCATGGAAATGTGTATCATAAATCCCCCAGACACTGGAAGTTATCACTCCCTTTCATATACAGCACAACTGAAGCTCAGAATGCGTAAATTCTTTGCATAAAAACACAAAATAAAACCATGACAGAAGCACAGGAAAAAAAAAAAAAAAAAGTCAGATATTCTGATTCAAGGTCTTTTATCTTTTCTATAAGCCACAAAATTCCCAGGATGTACTTCAAACTTTATTTCTATTTCCAGTATCTTATAATTATTATAAAAGAATAGTCTGCAGTCACTGTATAAAACCAGTGCCATGTGTAACTCATGACTTCATGTATATATACACAAAAGATTTATTATAATCATCAATGCTTTCAACATTAAATACTTGATCCTGAAATCTTTAATCAGACAAAAGCTCAGTACATAAAAAATTCTGCTTCAATCGGGACTGATTCTCTTTCTTCTAAACCAGATTAGGACTTCACTTCAGTGTTGACTCATTCATTTATTCCACGGTCGACAGCACGTTCACAAGACTGTGACTTGTCTATATATAAATATCGGAACAAACATTCAAAGGGAAAAATACACACCTCACGTCTAAAAGTTCTTCTGTTTGTACCACTAAGAGCTTTAGCGTCTGAGCCCAGAGCCTCAGCTTCTGTAAACTCGTCCAATGCAGCTGATGCCAGTGGCACTATGTTGATTTAGCTGATGATCTGGATCTCTCTTTTATCAAGTACAGACTGTCAGACACCCTTGAGAATAGTTACCCTACCAGCAGATCCTCTCGCTTCCACGATGCCAAAGCTACTTGAAATTGTCTGGCCAGACACCAAGCAGTGCTTGTATGTCACTCTATGTACTGATCCCTGAAAACAGCCCTTTCCACAAACAGCTCCAAAAGTTGGCTTCGCGTTGTAGACTGTACTCTGAAAACCAGTTGGGCAATTTGAAAGCATATGAAAGCAATTACAATTACAGTACTGCTCTGATAATTAAAACATTGCCAGCTGTATTCAAATGTACAGCTGTTATATGGGTAATGGAAAAAATACAAAAGCTTCAGATTCTGCGACCCATAATTTCTCAGACTGCTACATTCCAAACTCAGTTACTACCATCCCCATTTATGACAAAATGTCAAAATAATAGTGTCCTTTTCCATGCTTTCTTGTAAACAATTGGTTCCCTCATCACCTCTGAGTAATAAAAATTGTAACATATTTTACAACGATTCCCAAAACGAGATTAAACTGGTATCAAGTAAAAATCAGAAAAATATTAGCCGATTCTCCTCTGCTGAAATGGTTGCCAGCTTTGGTCTAGATGCCTCTTATGCCTGGTCACCTTTGTCTTCTGTTGCCATGGCCGAGTCTCTCTGCTGTTCGTCCGGATCCCCTGGAAGAATACTGGTGACTGTATGGAGTAGTGACTCGATCTGCTCTTCCGTTAGTCTTTCCTCGCTTTCTTCTACCATCTGCAGGTCAAAAACAACCTATTATAATCATTAAATCCATACTTCCTTCCTCAGCTTCAAACAGAGGAACTCAACTAATTGGGAAATCCTAATTTCAACAGATGCAAGACATTGTCTGAGCTCATTACAGAAGCATTTTACAAAGTGGAACTCTTACAATATTTAAAAAAAAAAAAAAAGAAAGAAGAGCTCCATTGTTAACCACAACAATTGGCACTCCATAATGAGACCCTGCTTTCTTTACAACAAGGAGAGGAACACACTCGGAACAGGCTTTCCTCCCTGGTTTCTCCTGCGGCCTCTCCCAACCGACACATCAGTATCTTGAGCCACTTTTCATTTAGCTCATGTGCAGAGCTGCCTTCCAGAGCTATTTTTCAAAGTTCCTGTGCTTTCATGCAAGAACTGAAATGAGATAACTTGCGAGTTGTTACCCGAACCGTGGTGTCTCATCCAGCACCTACACCATAAACAATTAGGCCATAAAAGCAGCCATCTAAGCCTAAAGCAGCCATACTTTATTGGAATTTACTTAGACTGTGAGATTCCTGAATATAAAGGCATATAAAAGCTCTGATCAACACAAAACATGCTGTCACGAATCAACAATAAAATTCCATAAGATTAATTAGGGACCTACTCTCAACTGTGAAGCTGTGGGAACTCTTATATCACTGCTACTAGTAAAAACAACTGCCCTAATTTATAGGCAGCTGTTAAAAGGAAAAGCTTGTCAGAGGACTGGAAAATGAAGCCAAATGAACTCTTCAAACGCAAATGAAACCAATTAGGATTGCGGGGTTTGAGATTTTCTTTTTTATACAAAGTCCTTTAAAACGTCCTTTGAAGAGCAGTGATTTATATTAATTATGGTTCCAAGTCAACACAGGTTTAATCAGCTCTAGCTACAAATTGTCAGCTATTCATATGCATCTTGCCTTCTAAAAAGCAGAGTGGTATATTCAATTAACTTTTTTTTTTCCTTCAATATCCTTTGAGCCCTCTTTGCACAATCTGATCATCTTTCATCAGCCATTACCCGCAGATACTTGACGAGAGGAACGCAAGCACGCCAGAATCCACTCGTGCAGCAAAAGGCAGACAGTGAATATCCATTTGCAAACGACTGTTTCTGGGGACCATCCTGATCAAAGGATGAAATTCTCTGCGGAGTGGCTTTCAAACTCCAGTTAGTTCAAGAACTACTGTAGGACCCTGGCTTGAAAAACAGCCCTGGCTCTCATTACCGCCAGCTGCTACACTATATGCTACAAGTTAAAATACACTGAAAAGCTCCCTAACGTTACCCTTACGCGTAAGCAACGGCTGCGGCTACTGAAGTGGTACCAGATAATTGCCTGCTAGACTGCAGTTCAGAGGTGATCATCTCAGCAGCTTGACTAGCATACCTTGGAGCATCAACACGATACAATAAAGTATGTTCCAGCACGTAAATACACTCTCTGTTGCCAACACTGCCGACAAAGCCATTACTCTACAGATGACCTATGCTATTAAGTTTCATAGAGGATTATCAGCCTGGTTTTTGGACTGGATTATAGCATTATTAATTACTGTTACGTTGAACTTCAAAGGTGACAGCCCCATAGCAGCAGGAACTGTATAAAGAAAAAGCCCACATCGTTTGGACAGGCAGTATCACAAGGCAGAATGAATTATCTCTTAGTGGCCAATGTCTCCTGCATCTGTTACCCTCCCACTGCTTCCTGATCTTCAGAAAAACAGCACCTTGTCTGGTTTAGATTTGAGTTATTGGATGAAATGAAGTCCACCCCTCTTCCTCATTTAAATTTTATCCCTCTTTATATATCTCCTTTCCTTTTCTTCTCCAAACACTTTCTCCTTTAGGTGTTTGCTTCGAGTAGCCAGAGTTAAATGCAAGGATTTCATTAGAACTGGAATATAATACAAAGTGATTTCAAGATTTTCTCAACTTCTGCATTTAAGGCACAATACACTTACATGAGTGTCTAATCACTGCTTCTTAGGTGCCCCTGAGTGCCAAATGAGTAATGCCCCAACTCCCAATATGACCAATCACAGTGATGTCATCTGTACTGGCTGAACATGGAAGCCTGCAGGACTGGCAAACCGCAGGTACGACTCGGGACATTGACAGATGAGCTCTGGTGGTTGCTCTGGCAGTTCAAGAAATCACAGTTTGCCAGCAAGATGATGAAAGAAAGTAGTCTTTCATGTTTTAGATGCATTGGTGCTGTAACTGATGTCTCATTAAACTATTGAGAAAAACATCTTTCTTTAAAGATGGATACTGCACTGAGGAGCGGGTAAAGTAGCTCCAAATTCCCTTCTGTTAACAGATCTGTAGTCTCTGCCAGAGGAAAGTGGTAATTCCTTAAATTACTGCAGCAAATTCATCAAGGGCTCACCTCTCGGTGCCTCTGAGATGTGCATCCTCACTGCCAGCTCTCACACCAGGAATTACCGATAGGCAAAAATCCCCATTTGGCAGGATGGGCACCTTATTATTCAAGACGATGCTTCAGCGCTACTTGGTGTGATACTATTCAAGAGTTCAAAGGATCAAAAGCATAAGCTATAAAAATCAATTTTTTTCACTCTTCAGGGAAACAGCCTGAGCTGTGAATTATGAAAACATAAGCAATTAGGAAGCAGCAAAGCAGCATGCTGAAAGGAAAAATTCAAAAATTAAGCACAGAGAGCATGTAGATAAAGAGACAAATGAAACTGTCCTAAAGGAAAACAAATTATCAAGGGAAACAGAAGGTCATGCAGAGGCTCATTCTAGATTCAACAGATGTTCGCACAATCTTCTGATTTACAACTACAACACAAAATACCTTTGCTGCTGATCGTACTAGGAAATAGTGTTATGATGCTCAGAAGAGAAATTATGCGTAAGAAAAAGCCTTAGAGGCAAAAAGAAACAGTTGTATTCAAGTGCCTACTTTTCCAGCAAGAATTTTACCAATATATGAAAAGTATCTATCAAAAAGCCTTGCTAACCTCTAACTTGCAGTTGGCTGAAACTGCTCAAGCAACAGATGCGAACCATAAGCAGTCAGGAATGCAAAGTTTATACTAAGGAAAACAAAAATGCAAATGTTTTTAATAAGTGTATGACATAAGATGTTTATGTTGGCAGTGCCACATAAGCCCAATGGAAATAGATTATCCTCACAGATGCCACATGCAAAGTGCAGGGTATCATCAGCCAACTTTGCTGAATATTTTCAGTATTCAGGGGTTTGCAAAAGCAGCAGAACTGGACAATGTTACAGTAGCACAAATGAGAGTAAAATAACTACAGTACTTTTGTAGCAAATGTTGCAGCATATCAATGCCATTCATGCACAGGTACAGGATGTATTTTCTAGGAAATGCATCTACGTGGTCAAGATCAACTCAGTCGAGTCAGGCCTCAATAACAACTTCTATTTCACTCAAACTAGTAAAAGCTAGTTATTAAATGCTCATTGCAATATGGTCATACAGTAAGCAATTTTCACACTTCATTTCCCTCCCAGCTAATGCTCTAAACGAGATCATCTACATGAAGACCAAACAAGGAATCAAGGAAGGAAGCAGGAAAACTTCATTTGGTCATTTAATTGGCATAAAATTCTTACAGCTAAAAAAAAACCCCAACAGGCATGTTCCCCCTGCAGCTAGTATGTACCTTTCAAGCCTCAGTACCTAGAGTTGCTTCTTGCTTTATTGATAAATGTATTGATAAAAATATCCAGATCTTTAGAATTGTGGAATATATACAAAATATTCAGAAGGCAGCAGAAGCCGCTGGACTGCTCACCTCTGAAAGCAATGCCACCTTTATTTAGAAGTGTAATAACCAACTCTGCACCTCCTTAAGCACCTTGTACCTACAACTGTCGAGCCACAGCTTATGTACTGATTTAATTTCAAGTCCTCAAGAGGTCCTAGCTATCTTAACTGGACTTAAAGCTTAAAATTAGGCAAACGTTTATTAAATGGAGAGTATGTTGAGAAAAGGATGCCGATTCTGCTCAGCCTCTCCAGATCCACCGGGCTTTCTGATGCAGCAAACACAGCACACATCCAACATCCACCACCGAGTCTTGCGACAAGAGACTGAAAAGACAAATTGCTCGTCAACTGCAGAATTAAACACTGGCAGATGCCTTGCCCAGTAACGCAACCGCTACTGGGAACCAGAGCTGTGCTTATTAAACAAACGTGTGCGTGGAATATTTTACTACCATGCAGCCTTTCCCAGCTGCACATTTTAACAGCAGCTTTTTTCAATCGAGCACTGTGCGTGAATTTCTCAGAGGAACAAAACCATCATAATTACCAAATCAGAATGTAATAATAGAATTACATTAAGCAGTAAGTCACATTAAAACCTGCTGATAAATTCTCATGGCAGAAAGTCATTTCAGAAGCTTTGAAAGATTTTATTTATTGAGAAAGTGAATCAGAAAATAACAGCTAGCCTGACTATCACGATTATTTCAAAGAGTAAAGTGTTTATTCATAAAATAAATGTGGAAATCTGTATGTTCACAGTGCCATGTACACATGTAAGCACAATATGAACAGACATATATACACAGGTATACTTGTCTTCTGGTTTGGTTTTTTTTTGGTTAGTTGGGTGTTTTTTGATTGGGGTTTTGGTTGGTTGTTTTTTGTTTTGTTTTTACTTGGTGAAATAAGGACAAACATTTTAGGAATGTGCCTTCCCAAACGATAAAAATACCTCATCTTTTCTGCCTACCCAAGTAAAAGCAAAGTATAAGAGACTTCATCATCCTCACTGTGCTTCTTTTAAGCTTTCAATGCTAATGTTTATTTCATTTAGCTTCCCGAGACACGACAATGCACTGCAAATGTTGAAGAATAAATGAAGTCACACTGAAGAACCTTAAAAAGTTCTGAAAGAACTGAGAACCTGTCTCACAGATAAGTAACATTTGAGAGTAACAAACCTCAGCATCATAGAACAGAACAAGCTGTGAGTTAAAAGCTATTGTTGATTTGAATAATAAGCCAAGAACTCTATTTTAAAAATAATCAGTAAACTACGGTAATAAAGGAAACAAGGATTCTGATCACTTCCAAAGCTATCAAGCACATAATTTAACTCCAGTGTAGGAGGTACATATTTTATGAGAAAATGACTGCTATTTCCTCCTTTGAGCAGTAATTTGAAATTGTTCAGCACCGACATGCTAATAGGAAAAAAGGGCATAAAAAAGAAATAAAGCAAAAGACTGATTGATCGGATTAATGTCCCTCAGAGATAATTAACCAAGTATGCAAAGTGGGAAGCAAAATATATTGTTGAGAAAATAAAACGTTTAAATCCTCTAACATCTTCCATTTTCCAGAAGAATACTCTACATTATTATTTTCTTTCCAACGATAAAAGACAATCTGCCAGGCTCGTTATGCAAAGCACATATCGCAAGGTACAAAGCTCTCCGAGATGGGGATCGAGTTTTAAAAAGCACAGAATTAAAATCTACTGTTCCATTCAGAAAGAAGAATGTGGAGCAATTTGATAATTAGAAAAG